CTCCCCAGTGCGTTTTCAGAGGCTTTAAATTGCATGTGATTTCTCCCAAAGAGCAGCTGGTAGATTTGAACTGCCTGCCTTTGGGTTGGCAGCTCATCTCCTTCCTACTAGGTCACCAAAGCTTCAAAGTGAAGAAGAAAATAAGTGAAAGAGAATCAGGGATGGGCAACGGAATCAGTATCTTCTCTGTACCCACCCATAGCTGGCAAATGGTAGGGGCAGGGGATGAGGGTAGAGGTGAGGAAGGGGGAAAGTCTTGAAACCCAAGGGTCTGTGGCCAATGCTCAGAGGCAACAGTGGGTTCTAGGCTGGTGGTGGGAACTGTCAGAGTTGGGGAAGGGGGGAAGATGTAAATGAGGATTTTACAGACAAGGGCCTGCTTAGCTCATGGAGCCAAGTGCCAGAGGCCAAGTGCCAGAAAGGCATCGCTGGGACCCAGCTCCAAATCAGCGCTCCATTGCCACCCAGTGGCTCCCACGGAGAGTGCAGGTAAAACAACAGCTGAGTCGGCCAAGGCCAGACAGGAAAGGGAGGAGCCTCATTTCTGCCCTCAGTGCCCAGCATCAGTAGAAGACCTAGGTCCAATTGGACTCACCAGGCAATACTTCCTGGTCCAGTCTGTGTAAGGCAACTCTGTCCTCTGGGTCTCAGTTTCCCCAATGGCAAAATGGAGGGACTGGACAAAGTGAGATTGGACACCAGTTACTGAAATACTTCAGCTCATCTGAGCCTCACCTCCAGGTAAGATCTAGACCATTCCATTGCCCCTGACCTCACACATTCCTGCTTCACTCACCCGGACAGTCCACCATCGGCATCTGCAAAAAGTCCAGCTGCTGTTTAAGACTTGGCTGGACGGCGACATCGTCTAAGGATTTCTCCTCCTCACCCTCCCTCCTTCAGCCTCCTATCTAAATCTCCATGGTTCTGCTACAGGTATAACAGGTGCACTTCACCCTTCCAGCCCTGGGCTTCCCTGCTCTCTAGCTTTGCTCAGCAGATGTTTCTCTTTCCTCAAGGTACACGAGGTAACAATGCCTATGCGTATCTCAAGTCAGGAAGGGTGACTTCTAACACGGTGGGGTAGATAGAACAATACCCTCCATGGTGGTTTAGTAGTAAGAATTTGTACTGTCAATCCTAAGACACGTGATTCGGGTCCAGCAGATACTCCTCGGGAGAAAGATAGGCAATCTCCTTCAGTACAATTTACTTCCTGTGAAATAAATACTGGAGGGTCAGCTAAGAGTCAGTTCTGACTCGATGACACACAACAGATCCACCCAAAAGATGTCCAGGTCCTTATGCCTGGAAACTGTGGAAAGAAACTAGCTCTGGTAGTCAGTGCTAAGAAGCTTTGCTGCAATCCAAAAGGTACTTGGTTCAAATCCACCAGCTGCCCCCACAGAAAACAGATGGGAGATCTCTTCCCAGCTGATTTACTAACTCTGATAACCTGCTCAAGGGTCAGCTACGAGTCAGCTGCAGCTCGACACAGCACACAACAACACATACCAAAGAGACTTAAGTTATATGATTCAATTAAGAATCTTGAGAGGGGAGACAGCCCTGGAATATCCAGCTCAGCCCAACAAGAGGCAGCGGCAGGGGCAGCTGCAGAGAGAGAGGCAGCGGCAGAGGCAGGGGCAGGGGCAGGGGCAGGGGCAGAGGCAGAGGCAGAGAGGTGAAGAGGCACGATGCAGAACCATGAGAAGGAAACCAGGCAGCTTCTAGAAGACGGAAAAGGCAAAAAGTTAGGTTCTCCCTTCACATATGCAGAAGGGATGCAAAGCTGCCACACCATGAGAGGCTCGGCCCGCACACCTGCTAAGGTAATAAATGTGTGTTAAGCCACGGAGTTTGGAGTTCTTTGTTACGGTCACCATTTAAAACATCCAAACACGTTGCTACTGAGTCAATTCCAACTCCCAGTAACTGTACAAGCCAGATTGTCATTTCACCGTGTTGTTGTTGTTGCTGCTGTACAACTCCAGAGTCAGAACCGACTCACAGCTGCTCCTCTGGCAGGTTTCCAAGGCAGTTAATCACACAGGAGGAGGTTGTCCGTCCTTCTCCCACGGAGAAGCTGGTGGCATTGAACCACATGTCTTCGGAGGTGCAGCACAGCTTCTTGCCACTAGGCCACCAGAACTTTCCCATAGGGTATCCAAAGGGCATCTTAATGAAAACAAGATGAATGGAATGAATGAAAACATCTGCTCCAGGGAAACAATTGGCGAGTGGTCTGAACCACCAACATTAGAATTAGCAGCCAAGTGTTTAACCATTGGGCCACCAGGGCTCCTTGCAGCAGCCATTGTTGTTGTTGTTGTTGTGTACCATCGAGTTGACACCGACCCATAGCTGAACCTCGGCTGGTTTTCAGAGGCAGTTAATCACACGGGAGGAGTTTGCCCAACCTTCTCCTGTAGAGCAGCTGGTTGATTTGGAGCGCGTGCCTTCAGGACTGCAGTACAGCCTCTTGCCGCTAGGCCACCAGTGCGCCCTTACAGCTGCCAGGAAAACATCATACCTGGCTCAACCACTTGCCAGTTCTGGGACTTTTGGAAAAGTCTATGCCTCAACTTCCTCATCTGTAAAATGGGGATGAAAAAGGCAGCCATTCTCACCTCAAAAAGGTATAAGGAGGGAGCTCTGGTGGCCTAGTGGCAAGACACTGCACTGCAATCCCAGAGGTATGCGGTTCAA